GTGGGGTGGGGGGTGAAGAGAGGGGGCGCCCTGCCGCTTGTGTGAGGCGCATGGGTCCACCAGGCTGCACACAGGTCGGCATGCCTGTGGCCACATGGACGGCGCTAACGAGGGTGCGGGACACAAGCCTCTGGGGATCGCGGAGGACACGCAGCAAAACCTTGGCAGCTGCAGTGTCTGGCCTCACTGATTGTGACGGTCCGCAACGCTGCCTTGGTTCCTCGGCAACTCCCATTCGTCGGCGTACTGCTGCGGGCAGCGCGCACCAACACGGCCGAGCCCCTGCCCCCTGCTACTCCTCCCGCTCACTCCTCCCCCCATGGCTCTCCCACGACAACGACCACAGGCCTGCACTCACTGCCCGGCAACTAAAAGCCAATATTCAGACAGGCAAGCAACCCCTCAACCCCCCCTCAGGCCCACCTCGCACACCCACGCCCGCGCACACACACACACATACACACGCGCGCGCGCGCGCACTCACACACACATGCCAAAATGCGCACCTGCATGTGCCCGCCGACGCCCAGCAGCAGCCCCAGGTGGACGCACAGCGTCCTGACGTACGTCCCCGCCTCGCACGACACCCAGAACACCGCCAGGTGGCGCTCCTCGTCGTACTCGTACAGCTTGGACGCGTAGATGCTGCGCACGCGCAGCTGGCGCTTGACGGCGCTGATGAGCGGGGGGCGCTGGAAGAGCGCGCCCGTGAGCGTCTCGATGCCGCGCGCGACGCGGACGGCGCCGCCCTCCACCTTGCCGTGGAACCTGGCGGGGGGCGGTTGTTGCGGGGCCGGGTGTCCGGGTTCGGTCGGGGCAGCGGGGACGCAGCGGATGGCTGCCGGCTCGTGGCAACATAACTCGTGCGGCCGCCAGCTGCTGCCGCTCCACGCAAAGATGGCCAGCTGCGTTGGTGAATCATGCTGGGCCGCAGCAAGGCCCTTTTCGCTGCAGGGGCGCTCCCAGCTGCAAGACAGCAGCAGCATCGGCATGCGTTGCCGCTTGCCATCCACGAGCTACCGACAGCCGCGCCTGCGCACCATGTTTTTGTGCGCACGAACCGCCCCACGCATCTAGCGCGACTGCCGCATGCTTGATTCCACACAACCAATCCGCACACCTGACGATGCAGACGTACTCCTTTCCGGCGCTCTGCTGCGCCTTGACCAGCCGCGTCGCGCGGTCGACGCACACGATGAGGTTGCCCGTGACCTTGGGGTCGAGCGTGCCGCTGTGGCCCGTCTTCTCGACGCGCATCATGCGCCGGATCCAGGCGACCACCTCATGGGACGAGGGGTTTGAGGGCTTGTCCAGGTTGATGCAGCCGGTGCTGAGGTACTCCTTGAGCGGCCGCTTGAGTGGCGTGTGGCCAGCCGGGATGGGCGTGTAGTGGCCCGTCCGGACGTTGAGCTTGTCGTAGTTCTTAAGGAGCAGCGGCCACTTGGAAGTGTCCAGCGGCGGCACGCCCTTCTCTGGCCGAATCAAGAAATCGGTCGCAGCCTGCACCTCGCCGACGCCCAAGGCACCCTTCTCCTCCTTCTCCTTCTTCTCGCCCTTATCTTTTTTGCCCATGGCTGCCTAGAGCTCTGAAGTGCCGGTGGTGCCGGCAGCCGTCAAGTGTGATCTGGTGGCTGCTAGACGCAGAGAAGTGCCGTGTCCGCGTATGTATGATATTTTCAAGATTTTACGATGTCAGAACTCTGGCCTCGACGACCCACAAACAACTGCAGAGGTCGTGCAGCATCAGCAGCAGCACGCGCAGCAGCTGCTGTTCCCCTTTTCGAGCCAGGAATTGCGAAACCCTGGTGATGCAAAGCGATTTGAAGTGATTCATTTCAATTACAGGTGCCAAGACGACGCAACATATGCCGTTGGTATTGCCGCTGCCAAGGCTTCTTGAACTCGCCATTCAGCAGCTTGGCATTGGCTTCACCGTGTGACCTATTGCGTCACGTGGCGTCCGGCTCACCAGAAACATTGAGAGGGGCACCATGACCAGCACGGCGTCCACACATGACTGGGCGCATACAGGTGTGATGGGGCTGGGGGGTTGGAGCGCAGACATGGTGCAACCAGCCGACGGTGAAGAAAGGGGGTGGAGCGCGGATACGGTGCAACCAGCCGACACGGTTTGGCTCACGCATCACTGACTGCATCTGATGGCCTCACATCCAGGTCAAGCAATCGGAGATGACCCATATCGCATCAACACAACAGCAAGCGTCACAGTTGACGGCAGCGGCAGCGGCGGCGAGGGCCTGACGCTGGCGGCGTGGCTGGCACCCTCCAGGCATGCAGCCACGGGGTCACTTGAAGGCTCTGAATGCAGTGTGTGCGTCCCCCTTGCTGTGGCTGGTCACGCAGGCACCGTTGACACCAGAAATCACCACCAGCTGGGGGGAGATGCAGCCGCTCTTTCCCCAAGCATTCCCCCAGCCGATGCCTGTTGTCCGTTTTGTTATCCGCTTCTGCACCACCGATTGCATGGGTGCAGGCTGTCATGCATCAATGATATCCGAGACGAGCTCCTCTGCTGTGTCTGCCTGGACCTCTGCGTGCGCCCCTGCACCACACCATGCGGTGCGAGAGCCAGCAGGACGGCGCTGTCTGCATGTTGAGCTTGAAAGCCGTGTGTGCCGATTTTTGCGTCTCTCGCACATCACCGCATGCCAGCAGGCACAATTTCATGCAGCGGCATGCATGCACATGCCCATGCATGCGCTATGCTTGCTGAGCTTCCCAATGCATGCCCCCCCCCCACTACCTGCAGGCCACAGCTTTTGCCGCAGCTGCCTGCGCCAAGCGCTGCGCCACAACCCCCGCTGCCCCAAGTGCCGCCAAGGCCTACCGGCAGGTGCACTGCGGCTATTTTGGCCGGCGTCATCCGTCACGCTTGATTGCATGGGGTCTGGCTACGCTGGCATGGGGGTTATGGGGGCAAATAGCGCCCCTCCACTGCTGATTGCCTAACAACACATGTGAAGCAACGAGTTCTGCACCCATACAGTCAACACTCTTAGTGACCCCTCGGCCTCCTCACAGGCTTCGCGCTCAACGTCAATACGACCTTATGGAATGTCTCGAAGCTGCTATTCCCCCACCAGGCTGCAGCTGCGCCCCCACCCACGCCAGCCGCCCCGCAGTGCGCAGAGCCGCCGCTGCGGCCGCTGCGGCGGCTGCGGCTGCGGCGTCTGTGGAGAGGAGAGGTGTACGCGTACGGCGAATCAGCGCCCAGCCAACCGGCAGCCCTGACCCGCGCACGCCAGACCCTAGGAAGCACTGCTGGCAGCAGTAGCGAGGCCGAAAGGGGCGACCGCGGTGATGCCCAGGGGGGCGACGTACGTGGAGAGGATGCCTTGGAGGAGATACCCTGGGACACGCTGCCGCGCCCTACGAGGTGAGCAATCATACACACAAATGTCGTCCAGGCAAGCAAACCTGGCCCCCTCTTGCATGCAAACTTCATGTCATGCTCAACGGCTCAGCTGGTAGTTGGCAACCTGGTTGCATGCCAAACACACTAGACGTCTTCGTTCACCACGCACCTTGCAACACTCCCCCATCGGCTGGGCTCCAACAACGGGTGACTATGCTCAAGGGGCGGTGCCGAGAGCAGCAGCAGCACCAACAGCTATCTGATGAACGGCAGCGATAGATAGATAAGTTACTCATACCATAGCATCACTGCCATCGGCCTCGCGCTCATTAGAGCGGACCTCCTCATTCCTAACCTTCCAACGGATCGGCCAACGGTAGCAGCAGCAGCTCTGCTGCAAGCAGGGACGAGCGCCTGGCGGTGATCAGGCAGCACCCGGAGAGGATGCTGCAGTTGGAGAGGATGCGGCAGGAGATGTGGGCATCTGGTCAGGCAGCGAGCGAATCGCTTGCGCGGCTCGGGGCAGTGCTGGGCGCCCCCACCAGCCCCACAGCGCTCGGAGATTGGGGCGCACCACGCGCCGCAGGCACGGTTTTGCCAAGGGCTGAACAGCCGCCTCTTTGGCAGCAGGGGGCTGCCGATTCTGGGGCAGCAATTGGAAGTGCGGGCAGCTTCAGCGGCTACGACCTTTCAACGCCGCAAACAGAGGCAGGAATACGCCAGGGGCCGACAGCGGCAGAAGTGTCACACCCTGCAGTGGCGCCAGAAGCTGCACAAGTGTCAAGGCAGCGCACACCCGAGTTTTTGGCCGGGCTCAACACGGCAAATGCAGCAGCCGAGATTCCAGTGATGGCCGCTGTTAGGAGCACCTTACACGAGCAGCCAGCCAGCGATCCTACCAGCCCCCGCCACGCCCAGCAGCAGCTTCAGCTGCAGCAGCAGCTTGATGCTGACGACGAGGGCGCATTGAACACCCTCGACGGCTTGCTTAGCAGGATGCGCCTCCTGAGCACGCCACCGCAAGTGGCTGCCGCCAGTGAGGGCAGCAGTGGCAGCTCGAGCCTCCAGCCACCAGCCTGGCCTGAAGCAGTGGCACGAGGCAGCAGTGCTGTCTTGGCATCCTCACACAGCCTATGGCACATCCACAGTGGCGACAGCCCCGTGCCTATCAGCGGGATTGAGCTGCTGCTTGCTGCAGACGAAGGGGATGCGGCAGAGGAGGAGCTCGAGGACTTGTGGCATGCTGGGCAGCAGCTGCACCAAATGTGATAGCAGCACTGGCAGGGGCCTGACAGAACAAGACGCTATCTGCTGTGACTGCTTGCCTGGGATGTATCGCACAATGCACCCAGTCGTGCGTGTGTGTGCGCTGCATGAGCTTTGCGACTTTGAAGGCAAGACAGTTTTATTTGCCACAGATAAAACAGGCTGGACAGGATTGTGCACCCTTCGTAAGTTACATGCGCACGATGCGAGAGGGACTTGTTGCAAGAATGTGTTCACCATACAAGCAAATGAAAGCACCCGAACGTTAAGCCATGATTGCAGGCCCCTTCGCTTGGCATAAGGGCCAGCGGTGCGGCCGCACCTTCCTCGCCGAAATCAAGGATGATACAAGCCGGTGACAACAGCCGGGCGTCACAGCAGCACCATTTCTGAGGCACACTGCAACGAATTGCCACTGAGATAAGCCTTAGACGCCCACGCAGCAGTTGCGGCTGTTCGCACAGTCACACATGGTTGCCAGCAGCCACTCAAACAGCCAGATCCAAGTGCTGCAACCTTGCTGAGCAGCCGGAAAGGCGCATGCCCGCTAAAGCTGATTCTGCTTCAGCAGCGACCGTCAACCACATGAATTTGCCGGTGCGGGCTGCGCGGACCTGCCCGCTCAGCCGGAGCCGTCGCCGAACTTCTTGCCGAA